TTCACGCTGGGTAATCAACTGGGAGGCGTTAAACTGCGCCACAACACTCTTGAGGACTTCGTTGACAATCGACGGCAGCACCCGCTCGTCATAGTCCAGCCCTAAAGTACGGAAAATGGTGGGTAACTCATCCACCTTGGGACGGGATAGCACACGACAGGTGATGTTAACCATTTGTAAATCCTTGGTGCCCGTCAACGAAGCAATGTTGCGAGGTTTCGCACGTACGTCATAAATCACCGGTGTCTCCAACCACGGAATCATGAAATGGGTCCCTTCGGCGTAAATCTCACGCTTCACTCCCGAAACACGCGAGTACTTGACGGCCCGATGTCCACCGTCTACATTGTACAAACTGGCACTCAGCGCCCAGGCACCCACACCAAGAGCGATCAACCCACCTGTTCCGGCCAAAAAACTCTTGCCCCCTCCGCCGGAAGAGTGTCCACCTTTGTTGGCGCTAGCCTTGAGGACTGCCTGCGTGAACTTCTTAAACGCTTGCTGAGCCTGTGACATGATCGTGACCAATGAACGATAAAAAACGTGAAAGCTATATCAACTACGGATACTACTAGTAGCAATAATGACAATAACAATAGCAATAAAAAATAATAATAGCAGCAGCGATGAAACTTGGATCACGACCAGGACACAAGAAAGGAAAATTCGCACAACCCTTCCTCCTCCGTTACGTGGCGGGATGGTAACCCTCACAATTCAGAAGGTTGGGAAGACAAGTGAGTGTGAGGGTAATATTGCACGTGATTATAAACAGCGATGCTGCACTGGATGTGGTGGGCCTAAAAGAAAGGCCTTCTCCGTCGTTAAAAGGTAGGACGATGGATTGTGGAACTATTGTCCAGTAAAACTTTTAACGTTAGACAATGGTACAGTGGGATTAAACGGTAGTTAGTATACGTCCTCAATATCACTATGTACTAGTAACACTGGGGTGCGGCCAGATTGGCTTTATCGAGAAGAAGTCACCCTGCGTGGGTATGTTGCTATCGAACTGTAGCTGACCACTAGGATAAATATTAACTGCTTTAGCGAAACCATGCTATTATGTGATGGTGAAGGCCAGATAAAATTTAACAACTTATAGGCGGTGGAAACCTTGACACACATGTTTAACTTGAGATTGCTTAAAATAATTGTAGAAGGTAGAGTGACGACTTTTGGGCCAAGAATAATCCAGGTGAGACGATATAATCAGAAAGGACACTGAAAGTTCCAGCTGTGTTATACACGGAGCTTCAATCTCACAGCTGGAGTTTAGTACATTTATGACGTGAAATCGAATTGTCCAGAGAAAATAAATCAACGGAAATTTAATAGGAATTAGACAGGCTATCCACACAAAACAATTTAGTGAGTCGGAGGTAGGACATGTTCCAGAGCTGCGAAATAAATGATAAGGTAAACAAAGTTGAATTACAAAGAAAAATATCAAATGCAAAATATCAAATTGTTTCCTCTAATGACAACTGGCTGCAACGAACATTCCCAGTAATCGATTTATAGTTTCACAGCAGTTCGAGTATTTTTTATTGAATCAAAAGTCATGCTTACACAACCTCCAGCTCCTTGAGAGTTGGTTCAATGTCAACAAAGCGGAAGTGAGTAATGATAAGAGCGTACACAGATCAAGGTGTAGGTAAACTTCAAGCCAAATAAACATACCGAAACACAAGCACTTGGGAAATCAGCCTTGCCAAGGCACTGTGATTTGCACAGCTCACAAGAAAAGCACTTGTAGCAAAAACAAGGACCAAATATTAGACATGTGTATAGTGACTACCTACTTTTTATTTAGACAGCCAGACATGAGATTTTGGTATAATCCAAGGACTTGAATCCTAATATCCTCCTGAATTCTGGACTGTATAAAGTTAGCAAGAATTTAGCTACGTAAAATGTATTCGAACGACCTTCTTGAGGTAAATGCAGAAAATTAAATTATAATATTCCATGTCAAAACAAGTTTTTGGTCATCCTTCTGATCATGGGAAATGGCAGTTAGCCCTTCTGTCAAGAGTACTCTTTGAAGTACAGAGCGTGGTTGCCAGATCACAATGGACATCAATTTCCCAGTGTAAAAAATCATTGGGATGGGTCCCAACATTTCAATTCACTATATAACCTGTTGTAATCCCATTTATCTCACCTCAAATAACTGTCTTGACAGTACGAATCAGAGATTAAGCGGTAACGTTTTTATAATCAAAAATAATAATAGTTAAACCTTTAAAAGGTTATGCTCACTCTGAGCCTTTTCCTTTTCCTATGACCGTTTCTGTAACCACGGGTTATTCACTAGTCGTCAGATACGACATCACCCGACACCTTGTGCTTCTGATATAAAAATTGGACGACCCCGATTCTGGGGAAACAGAAGTGGAACAAACTTTAGTTTTCATTACCAGCGATAACAGGTGTTATTTAAAAAATATTAAATAATTTAAACTTTTCAACAAGAGCTACTTTGGCCGAGTTGGTCTAAGGCGCCGCACTCAAGTTGCGGTCTCGAAAGAGGCGTGAGTTCGAATCTCACAGGTAGCATTTCTTTTTTGGTCAAAACCTTGTCCTCGGAATTTTTTTTTTTTGAAATTTCAACTGAAATTTTTTTCGCTGGGTAGTCACGATTTTTATTTTCCTTCAAATGAGATAATGTGAAATATGAGTTACACTCTTTCGAGTTGAGTTGGGCTGAGGGAGATAGTACAGATATTTTTTGGGAACATGATGGAGGATAAATTCAATCAGGATCGAAGGCTGATCAGACACTACTACACCTGCTCACAATACGGCTGATTTCCTTGTATATCGGGGAGGAGATGTATTAGAGAAGTCTGGCCAACCGAGAGATAAGACCATTGCAAGCTGAAGAAGACCATGTATAAGAAAAGGTGGTTCTTTAAATATCAAATATCATCATGCTGTTATCACCAAAAATAACCATAACAGAAGCTAAACTACATTGACTGTAGTACAAATGGAAAGTGTAGAGTGGCCTGGGTCTCACATGCTAACCAGAAGAGCTATTCTAAAAGCTTACTACTTTCAGACTCAGGCTTTACCCTAGTAATGGTAACAAAAGGAAAAGAGTAAATGATCTGTGACTAGGCATTTCAAAAAGCCTTTACCTTCTATGGAGTGAAGGGTTAGTAATTTTAGGGTAACACATTTCATCCTTTTGAAACTACCAACCTTGCCGAGTAACCAATGACCATAGTTTTCCAAGTATAGTCAAAAATAGCTAGATGCCAACTGCGAATTGGTTGTGGCGGTATTGACCATATCTCCGTTGGAATATTTAATTAATTTTGCTCCGTATGATACATATTATCCACCAGCAACAACGGTGAACATTGAAGGACACTTGACCACTGACAACACTAGTGGGCTGTGGGATGTAGAAAGGATGATTGGACCCACAAAGTGTGCCGTTGTTTCGTTTCTTTTACAAAAGTAATGTAAGCAGCCATTATTTCCATCTAAAAAGACTTTTTTTCCTGGTTATAAACAAGTGGATCGTCTTTGTCAGCAGTATTGTTGCTATCTTTTGTGGTATACTACACTTT